TCAAAAAAAAAAAAAAAAAAAAGGTGTACTTAAAAAATAATTAAACCAGAGACACCTAAATCATACTCAGACTGGAAATAGCAACCTTTTGCTTTGTAATTCTATTGTCTGGTAAAGAATACTTCTAAGGCATTTAGAAATATGCACTGTGGACAGGTGCAGTGGCTAATGCCTATAATCCCAGCATTCTTGGAGGCTGAGGTGGGAGAGTCACTTGAGCCCAGAAGTTTGAGGCCAGCTTGGGCAACATAATAAGATCTCATTTCTACAAAAAAAAGTAAAAACTAGATGGGCATGGTGGTATATGCCTATAGTCCCAGCTACTCAGGAGGCTGGGGTGGGAGAATTGTTTGAGCCTGGAAGGTTGAGGCTACAGTGAGCTGTGATCTTGCCACTACACTCCAGCCTGGGTGACAGGGTGAGACTCTGTCTCAAAAAAACAAAACAAAACAAAACAAACCCACACACACACACACACACACACACACACACACACACACACACACGTATTGTATCTTTGAACATATGAGCTTAAGTGAATTTGAAAAATTAGACATCGAACCCTAAAGACAAACATAAATAGGTAAAAATAATACACTTGAACAGTAAGAGGTGGTCAAAATGGTCTTACAATCAGGTTTACTTAACAAGGAGAAAGGCTCAAATGTGTTCTAGTTAATATCTATGATGCTAAAATAATCTATAAGCAAAAACTAGCCCAAGTTACAAACCAGGAAATAATTTCTGAGAACTAGTTAATGTTCATACTATTTCCCAAGAACTACTTATTTTCTATAAACTTAACTCATTGCACATGCTCATTAAAGTTAATGCCAATTTAAGAAGCTTAATCATTAAAAATGTATTTAAACATGAAGTGATGTGATCATAGCTCACTGCAAGCTCAAACTCCTGGGCTCAAGTGATCCTCCTGCCTCAGCCTCTCAAGTAGCTGGAACTATGGGTGCACACCACCATGCCCTGCTAATTTAAAAATATTTTTTTAGTAGAGACAATGTTTCATTGTTGCCCAGGCTGGTTTCAAACTCCTGGGCTCAAGGGATCCTCCTGCCTCAGTCTCCCAAAGTGTTGGGATTATAGGTATGAGCCACTGTGTCTGACTAGTTTTATTTTTAAAATTAATATTAAAACCATAAGCAGACAGCATTTTTACACATATCATTTGGTGTTTTTATTACTATGTCACTTACTTCTTGAATCTCTTTTTTTCATTTCTTGTGCTAAAGCAATGTCAAAATGTGCACTGTTAGCATTCTCACATTGGTTAATTATCCTACAGACACATTCAGCAGCAAAGACTCTAGTAGCCCATTGGGGATTGGTAAAAGGATGGGATTTTTCATCATGTCTGGTGGTCAGGACTGAGGCATCATCCCCTTTATCTCCTTCTTCTTCTTGCATTGTATCCACACAAGTTAGAGCTGTAAAATCTTTTATTGAAGGAGAACAAATGTAATTATAATCAATTGAAATATATATATATATATATATTTATATTAAAAGGAACACAAAAATGACTTCAAATTCAGACTAGAATTGGTATTGATCAATTATCAATTGCTATTGATCAGACTTTTTTAAAACAATATCAAATAATTAGGTCTAATAACTGCAGTTGTCTAAAAGAGATGCTTTAATAACTGTTCCAGGTCAAAATAACAAAGCTGTTATTAACCCCCGGCATGCAGATGGATGTACTTAAGTAAACTCAAAATTCTCTAGTAGGAAGTATGTATGGGATACATTGGGAAGGCTGTTTTAACTCTGGAGCCTTGCATGGATTTAAGAAGGTTCCTGAATCTACTCAAACTGTCTGAAAATATTTTTCTTAGGATAGACCCATTGCTATTATTACAGTATCAAATTTGTACTGATAGCTAGAGTCATTGAGTAGTGAATTATCTCCTCTAGTTATTAACTGTTAAACTTACCAACTGTTTACGAACTGAAAATGGAACTAATGCTATGAAACAAACCAAACTGCTTTTCTTATATCATCCCATATATCAACATTTTTTGAATGTTAGAATAGCAAAGATGTCATAAATAAGGTTAAGGCAAAGTTAACAGAGCCTGGAAGGTGTTTTCCTGAGAAGGTATGGCGCCAAACCACAGAAGATGAAGAATTAATGGCAAGATAAAATAGAGCAAGCTAAGGGAATATGAATGTAAAATTTAAAAAAGTTAAGTGAGACATCAGAAAAGTGTAATGAGTCTATCTATGCACATATATATGTTCTTTTTTTTTTTTTTAAACAAGATCTTGCTCTGTTACACAATCATGGCTCACTGTAGCCTAGAATACCTGGACTCAGGCAACATTTTCTTTTAAAGAAGTCCTTGCAATTTCTTGAGTAGTGGGGACAGAAGAGAGAATTAGAGAAATAAAACATGTATAATGTAATAGTTGAAACAGCAGGTATAATCACTGGAGGAACCAATAAGAATCAAGATAGAATGAGGAGAATACAAAACATTCCAGGGATTTTATGTTAACTTTTTTCCTATCACACAATTCATACATGAGAGCTACCTTAAATTTTAAGGCTTGGGCAATAGAGTTGGGAGCACTGAACTACAGTGGAAAGCTTGTGGATTTTAAAAGTTATGTAGGCATAGGACTGAATCTGTCTATGTCTTCAGGTTGGTTACCTCTCTGGGCCTGTTTTCTATAAACAGAATAAAATTGCCTATGCACAGGATGACTTAAAAGATTAAATCAGGTAAATTACGTACAGTTCTTGGAAAAGAACTGCTTTTCTCTTCTTTATTCCTCTTATTTATTTTCTCTCTTACCCCAAGGATACAGGATACAAATATTAAAGATTTGCAAATACTTTCTCATGAACAATTATCTTGCATTACTAAAGACATTACAGCAATAACACTGTTTTCTAATACTATTTGAAATTAACATTATATGTAGCAAACCTGGCTTGCTCAAAATGTGTAACTTTTGGAGAATTTTCTCTTACGGTGACTAAACAATTTCATATAATGTGTGGCATGGGGTGAGTATGTATGTATGTATGTATGTATGTATGTATGTATGTTTGTATGTAGAGACAGGGTCTGACTCTATTGCCCAGGCCGGAGTGCAGTGGTGTGATACTGGCTCACCGCAACCTCTGCCTCTCGGGCTCAAGCAATTCTCCTATCTTAGCCTCCTGAGTAGCTAGGACTACAGGCGTGAGGTGTAGTCCTAGCCCAGTGAATGGCCTGCCTTAGCCTCCCAAAGTGCTGGGATTACAGGCACAAGCCACTGCAGCTGGTCTCAAATATTTATTGTATGTATGAACAGAAATGATGGGGACAATATAAATCAAGTCCCACCTTTTACGGCATAAATAATAACTCTACTTTTTGGTTTTACATAGGAAAGTCATCTAAGACAGCAAAAGGGAAAAAAAGCAGGCTTAAGTATTGGATCTATACTGCTCAAATTAAAGAGAATTTTAAAACACTAGAAATATAATCTTCATTTGAAGAAAGAAACAATCAGACAATCAGAAGCCAGCTAGACAAGACTGATGAGTTCTCAGTGGTAAACAATTTTACGTAAAGTCTTAAATTTCAATTTTATTATTTAACTGATAATGACCAATGCTTACCAGCTGATGCAGCAAGTACATCTTTACAAAGCTTTAACCAAAGGGAGAGTTTTTCCACAGCCATAGATGTAAGCATATAATTCAAAGTCTCTTTGATATCATGGCATAATTTGTCATCTGTCTCTTTGTCTAGCAAGATCAATAATGCCCCCTCAAGGCCAACTTCTCTGATGTTAGCATCTGACAAGAAGAAAAACAATGATCTAAGTAATATAGAAAGCAGAACTACCATATCAGAAGCTCACAAATTCAGTAGTTATTCAAATAGTAGATAAAAATATATATTAAAAAACTAGCCCAAATACTGCGTTTTAATCTACCAAGATCCATTTTAGTTCACACTTGAATTCTGTTGAATTTTGGGATTATTTATGATCCTATATAGCCGTATTTTATGCAATGTCATTGAAAGGAAAGTATTAAGAATTATTATGTTTTCTTTTTTTTTTTTTTTTTTTTTTTTTTTGAGACGGGAGTTTCACTCATGTTACCCAGGCTGGAGTGCAATGGCGCGATCTCGGCTCACCGCAACCTCCGCCTCCTGGGTTCAGGCAATTCTCCTGCCTCAGCCTCCTGAGTAGCTGGGATTATAGGCACGCACCACCATGCCCAGCTAATTTTTTGTATTTTTAGTAGAGAAGGGGTTTCACCATGTTGACCAGGATGGTCTCGATCTCTTGACCTCATGATCCACCCGCCTCGGCCTCCCAAAGTGCTGGGATTACAGGCTTGAGCCACCGCGCCCGGCCAGTGTACTTTCTATATATGGATTATACTGGTGATATGTTAGCAGATACACACTCATTTATGAGGTGACATCCCAATTAGGTTCATAGACAGATCTCTTCCCTCTTTTCCTCCCTCCCTTCCTTCCTTCCTTTCTCTCTTTCCCCCTTTCTTTTAAACTTTCCCATCCTCAGACAGTTTCACAGACTTTTTTTTTTTTTTTTGAGACAGTGCCTGGATCTGTCACCCAGGCTGGAGTGTAGTGGCACAATCTCAGCTCACTGTAACCTCTGTCTCCTAAGCTCAAGTGATTCTCCCACCTCAGCCTGAGACTACAGGTACACACCACCATGCCAGCTAGTTTTATTATTTTTGGTACAGATGGGGTTTCACCATGTTGCCCAGTCTTGGATTCCTGGTAGCTCAAGGCTACCCACCTGCTTCAGCCTCCCAAAGTGCTGGGATTACAGGTATGAGCCACTGCGCCTGGTCTTATGGACTTTTTATCTGTGTGTTTAATAATAAAATTCTCTAACAGAAAGTGCTTACATTGGCTTGATACTGTTCCAGAATCACATGACCTGGAAACTCTGGTTCTGGAACAGTTGCAAATCGCCGAATAACAACTAACAGCATTTCAAGGCCAGAAAGACGGAGATGGTCATTGTGATCTGTGGCAGCCATAAAAGCCATGCGAATTATGTCAGCAAGATGCAACACCAAAAAATCACCTATACGATTAAAAAACATATTGGGAGAAAAGATGATTAGAAAATATCAAAAAAAATGTGCTGGAACTAAGACTTACATTAAGTGATAATCTTTCCTCCTCTAATTTTATAACCTAGACTTTAAGTACCTCTGACTTGATAAACTGTTTTTATTGTTTGTTAACTACATACTTTAAAGCTGGATTTAATGTACACTGCAAATACACAAAAAAACTGTTCCAAAGCTAATAATTATATACAGCTACTCAGGGCAGAATTAGCACCTTTCAAGAGTCCTAATAGTATCTTCAATAAAAATTTTATTCAGATTTTATGATAATAATACATTAGTTGGTACTGAGGAGACTTTGGGCTTTGATTAATAAAGCAGAAATTTATTCTCTTTATGTCAAGTTGAAGCGAAGATGTAATGTTCCTTTAAAAAAAAAAAGTTTTACGTGGCTCTCTGTATCAACTACAGTGTCTTATTTATACATATCTTGCCAAATACACAAATGAGGGGAGCATAAAGAATATTTCTAGCTGTAGAAATGACAAATGAGAATTCCTTTCATTCCTATAACACATTGTTTGGTATAATAAATCTCCTGTGGAGTAATATAAGAAAATTGTTTAACAGAAGAAATCAACATATCTTAGTAAATGCCAATTACAACTTTAACTGAGAGCACAGGAATCAGTAAGTATCTACTGCATGTAAATTTTATAAACTGTACAGAGCTCATCACGAATAGGAGACTCAAAAAAGGTGTACTTAGGGCCGGGCGCGGTGGCTCAAGCCTGTAATCCCAGCACTGTGGGAGGCCGAGGCGGGTGGATCACAAAGTCAAGAGATCGAGACCATCCTGGTCAACACGGTGAAACCCCGTCTCTACTAAAAATACAAAAAATTAGCTGGGCATGGTGACGCGTGCCTGTAATCCCAGCTACTCAGGAGGCTGAGGCAGGAGAATTGCCTGAACCCGGGAGGCGGAGGTTGCGGTGAGCCGAGATCGCGCCATTGCACTCCAGCCTGGG